TAGGCAAGATGGAGTCAATCAGTTTGTATACAAAAATGCGCATATTCATGCTCATGGAGCCCAATTGGGGGCCGATGATGGTGCAGGAGTTGCCGTTTTAATGCAGATGATCCACCATAGGGTGCCAGGTTATTACATTTTTACCCAAGGGGAAGAGTGTGGTGGCGTAGGCGCTAAGCATTTGCTCCAATTCCATAGCGAGCTGTTGGCCCAGTTTGACCGAGCCATCGCTTTCGACAGAAGAGGAAGCAGTAGCGTTATCAGCCATCAAGGTGGGTACCGGTGCTGTTCAGATGACTTTGCCGAGGCGCTCAGCACGGCCTTGAATAGCTGCGATATGTTGTATATACCGGATCAAACTGGCTCATACACCGATACCGCAGAGTTCACGTCCATCATTCCTGAGTGCAGCAATGTGAGTTGTGGGTACGCAAGGGAGCACAGCGCAGAGGAGTCATTGGACATGACTCATCTCGATATGCTGCTCAAAGCGGTTGTGTGTATCCCCTGGGATACGCTTGAGACCAAACGCGACCCGAACGAACCCGATGAGTATGCCTTTGTGCAAGATGGCTATACGAGCTTGGCGACATTGACAGTAGAGGCTATTCAGCTTTATGAGGCGCTTTGTTTGGCGGAACAGGGTTGTGAAGATGACCTAAAACGCTTGATTGCTCAGAGCGTGGCCATTAAGCATAGAAGCTTTGTCCAGGCCAGTCTGAAACGGAAGAGATTTCATTCGGCGTGGTTAGATGAGGCTTTTGAAGCGCTCGGCTCTTGTGAAACTGACGATATTCTGTACTTTTTATTGGAAAGAATAGATCCGACTTTGTTTTGATAGTCTCTTAACCCAAGCCCCACAAGGCTTGGGTTTTTTATTTGAGCGCGTAGACCTGCTCTGCATAAACCCCGAGCCTGAGGAAGGTTCCAAAATGGGCAAATGCCCCTACCCTGCGGCAAACCTCCTCTAAACTGGTAAAGAATTGGGCGTGACCAACGGGATTGCCGTTGACATGAAAGCGGCAGAGATACCAACCCCCTGCCATTTGGCGGAGTTTATGCGTCACGCGATTGCGCACCACCCTGTAGACCAGGTGGCCGTTTTCTGAGGTGACGGTGATGGGTTCGGCATTCAAGGGTTTTTCTTTTTGTGGATTATGTAGATTTTTCATGACTTCTGTCCTGATGCTTGTTTTTGTAGATATGCGGCCTTCACCACGTTCTTAACCGTCTTCATCTTCCCTATTGGCCTGTATCAAGATACACCGACCAACCGGTCCAAGGTTTGAAGAGAGCCCCCTTGCAGGGCCTAGGTCTTGCAGGGCATGAGCAGGGATTGTGCGTTCGCTGCTGCGCACTATTCCTATGGCCAAAAGGCTGTAGTCGCGCCACCGGTCCAAGCCCAGTTCTATAAGTTCGTCAGCAGTATATTCGCCAAAGGGCTTTTCTTCTAAGAATTCAAATGCCACAGTACGTAATGAGCCTGTCGCTGCAACAACCTTACCCTGGCCATATTCAGGGTGCTCGGCCAGATTACCGACAACAGGCGCAGCTATTTCTGCCATAAATTGCTGAAAATCATTTGTTTTTTTCATGGGTCACTCGTCCTTCAAAAGGATGATTCAAGCCAACAGGCTAGTTCGCCCGTGTCAGGGGGGCTGGTTGGATAGCCTTTGTGACTATTTTGTTCTTATAGGCAGCCGCCCACTGTCGGCGGTTGTGGGTAGGCTGTTGCAACTCGCGTAGTTGCTCGCGTATGACGCGCGGTAACGGATGCAGCAAAACAGGACAAGCCACAAACACGTTACGCGACTCCATTCTATCTGATTTTGGCAAAAGTATCCCATTTTTTCGACTTCCATAGTGCTTTGCACTACAATGCCAGCGGTTACCATAATTAAATCGCAATCAAACCCTTACGGCACCTCGCAGCAGGCGCTGCTGCATTTTCAGCAGCCCAGACCTTAAATCCTATGAAAAAGTTTCTCATACTATTCACCCGGCAATAAAGTATTGATCAAGCGGCATACTTAACCCTGGGGTCTTCAAAGTAGGAGCGCACGCGCTCGGGGTTGTTTTGCAGCATTTGCATGTGCGCTGCAGTAGCTTGCTTAAGTTTGTCCTTGCTTCTCACCTGCACACGCGAACCCAGTGCGTACTTCAGGTCAGCATTGAGTCGCTCATCAGGGTTGAGCTCCGGGCTATAACTTGGCAAATAGAACACTTCAATCTGCGCTTGATGCCGCGCTAGCTAGGCTTTTACAGATTTGCTGTGATGCACCCGTAGGTTGTCCAAAATAAGAAAGATCTTTTTGGCCGAATCCTTGATCAGCGCATCCAGAAACTCAATGAGCTTGTCGCTGTTGAAGGCATCTTCCACAATCATCCAACGTGCCTTACCTTGATTGGTAACTGTGGAAATCATCGACAGCTTGTGCCGCGTACCACCGACGGCATAGGCCACGGGCGTTTGCCCCTTGGGTTGATAACCGCGCCCGCGTACATCGGTGTTGACCACTGCCGTTTCATCTCCCCAGTGAACCTCGGCATCTTCAGCCTTGGCCCGATCAGCAATAGCCGGGTACTGCTCATCAAGCCACTGCCGAACTGCCTCAGGGCGCTGCTCATAGGCCCGCGTAATGGGCTTTTGCGGCGTAAATCCCCAGCGCCTGAGGTACTCGCCCATAGTACGAATGGGCAATTCAATCCCAAACTCCTGCTTGACCAGAACCATGACCGCACCGCGACTCCACAGCGCAAACTCAAGCTTCAACTGCTCAGGCCGACTTTGACAAATTTTGCGCTGAATATGCAACTCCTGCTCTGGTGTCAAGCGCCGAGAGCTACCCACGGGACGCCCCATGGGCTTGGGCGCTAAGGCCTTGGCCCCGCCCTGATTCGCCGCTTTGATCGCCGCCCGAACAGTGACGTGACCCATGCTCAGAGCCGATGCAATATCGTTGATGGTCAAGCCACGCCTGTGCAGCCGAACCGCTTGTTTGCGCCTTTCATACTGGGCTTGGCGCGTGAGCCTTCTTCCGTCTTCTTTTTCCATGCCCAGTACATGAGGTCAATCTCATGAATTTCAAGAATTATTTGCCGGGTCTATAGTTAGGAGCCTCAGGTGAAGCAGTTTGCTCTTTGGACTTTGGGTATATTGTTGATGCCAACAATGGTGCTGGCCTACCCTGCCAAGGTAATCGGAATAATGGATGGCGACATCATCAAGGTGCTGACCAATAAGCACGAGCAAGTCAAAATTCGTATCGCCGCCATTGACGCCCCGGAAAAAGCGCAGCCTTTCGGTAACCGGTCAAAGCAAGCCATGAGCGATTTGTGTTTTGGGGTGACGGCAGAAATCTCCCCAGTGACGCTTGACCGCTATGGCCGCACAGTCGCGGATGTAACTTGCCAAGGTAAGGATACGGGCAAGGAAATGGTGCGCATGGGCATGGCCTGGGTATACGACAAATATGCGAAAGGCCATGCAGACCTTTATCCTCTCCAGGACGCAGCCAAACGAGTCAAATTGGGCCGATCCTGATCCCACTCCGCCGTGGGTGTGGCGCCACCCTAGCGGGGCTTCTCAGTAGCCATAGCGGCAGCAACAAAGGAAAAGAAACGCGATCTGGAAAAAAGAATTACGGGGGCTGTTTGAGCTGGTGCGTATCAATCCCCAGCTCCTGCGCCAACTCTTGAATAACTCTGAAATTGACTTGCTCCGGCCTTGTGTGTCCGTTCTCCCAGTAACCCAGGGAACCTAAACAAACACCTAGGCGATGCGCCAATTGCTGCTGACTTAAATCGAGCTTAAGGCGAATCGCACGCAACAACTCCGGCACCCCCGCATCCCATAGAGAAAAATCCGCAGGCGCACCGGTTGCTATATCTAACTCTTGCGCCAGCTTCTCAATAGCCATCGCCTTTGCCCTACTCGGGCGACGATTGCGCCGCTCCCAAAAGTACACCGTCACTTCAGAAGACGCCAAGAGCTGAGCCAGTTGTGCGCCATTGGAGCCGAGTTTTTTGCGCATCTGGCCTAAGACGCTTGGCAAGCTGGCGTACCAGTTGTCAAAGTCAGCATCTCCCTTGTATTTGCTGCCTGCTATTTTGTGCGCCACTTCGGGTTTCGTTTTTTTGATGTGCTTTGCCCATAAATAGCTGTCTTGAGTTTGTCCACTCGCTTGTTGACCCTGTTGTGGAATTTGTATACCCAATTCTTTCGCCAGTGCAAGGAGCGCTTGGGCATTTCGTAAACTGGGTGTTTTAAGCCCCGCTTCCCAGTAGATGACGTTGACGTATCTTTCAGCCATCCCTAAGCGTTGACCAAGGCCAGCTGTAGATACGCCTAGGGCAGTACGAATGGCATGTACGGTAGCGGCCCAATGGGGTAGCTCAGGAAAGGCAACATGGGTAATTTCAATACCCAGCTTTTTTGCCATCTTGTCAATGGCTTGTGCTTTGTCTGGCGGTGGTTTGGTATGCCCATATTTCCAGTTTACCAATGTATCCATTGAAATGCCAAACTGGCGAGCAAAAGCCGCCTGACTCAAACCCTGCTTGTTTTGCAGGGCCTGCAATTTGGCTGATAGCAAAACCGCCCGCTGCAAAGCTTTCTTTTCTGCGGCA